TGTCCGTCGCAAACCCGGGGCTCCAGCTGCGCTTCGTAGTTTGGGTCCAAGTACGCGCAGGGCGTTACCTCTGCATGCACCAAGTTGTCGTCGTCATCGTCGTCGTCACTGCGGTCTTGCTCCATACTGAGCAAGAGCTGGACGTCGGCCTTGAGTTTCGCTACTTGCTTGTCCTTGGCCTGGTCCTTGGCGGTCATCGCAGCAGCCGTCGCCAGTCGCTTCCATTGTGCCGCAGTCATCAGCTTGTGTATCTGAAGGTCCTTGGATTCGCAGTCGGCGTGACTCATGCCGAGCTGCTCGTTGAGGAGGTTCTGCTGAGAGACCAAGATGCGGTTGGTGGCGATGGAGGCGTCGTACACTGCTTGGAGCTGGTTGAGAGCGATGGTGGTCGCAGAGGCGTGCTGCTCGATGGCGTTGCACTGCGCTTGCAGTTGCTGGACTTGGTCGTTCTTGGATGCGTCCGAGGCTGCCGTAGCGGTCTCGAGCAGCTTCTCGAGGGTCTTGACAGTCGTCGTGAGCTCTGCGATCTGGTCGTCTTTGGCAGCCACGAGAATGTCGTGGTCCAGTTGCTGCTTCTTGAGGTCTGCACCGAGGCGCCCGACCTCGGCCTCCTGGACGACCGCGTCGATCTTGAGATGGCAGATCGTGTCAAAGTGCTGCATGGAGCTGGTTTCGTAAAACTTGCGCTCAGTCGTCGCCGTCGCGAGACTCGTCTCGAGCTCGAGGATACGAGTTTGGCGGGCGTTGGACTCGGTGATCACAGCGGCCAGTTGGGCTTCCAGCGCAGCGATGCGCGATGCCTGCGCCGTGGCGATGGTGGTACGCAATGGGACTGGACGTGTCTCGGTGGTCGGTCGCGCACGTGCAGGCTTGCGAGGTGCTGGTGCGGCTGCTTGGACCGGACGGGCTGGTGTGGTCTGCCGGGCGCGGGGGCGCGGCGGCACCGTGGTGCGCGTCACGGGAGTCAATGTGGCCTTGGAGGCGACGTTGGAGGAGCTGTTCCAGCGGGGCTTGGTCATCGTTGTCATGGTTGTTGTCGGTGTCTGCAAATTGGAGAATGAGCTCGAGATGCCACGCTTTTTCAACTTGTAAAGGCCTGAAGTCGCCTTTGTCAGCGTAGAATCGAATGAACTTGCTTTTGTCTAGGTAAAAGCAATACTGCAGCAAATCGATCACCCTCTTGGCCACGAGGGTTGATGCTCATAGCTCTGTCATAAACTAGTAGAGGACGTTTTCACAGTGAAAGGCATTTCGGAGGATGGAACCAACTGGATGCAGCACGCATCGCACAGAAGTGCCACCATCACCTTGTTATCCCCAATTCTTGAATGGATCGAATACCATAGTCTTGTCGCTGTTAGGGGCTAACGTTAGGTTGTGCAGATGACTCGAGCGAAACACAAACGCAATTCATATGTTGTTACCATTTCTCACAGCCCAATCCATCCAAAGCACGCCAAGTCGGCAACTTTTGAAAATGGCATCGCTGCGACGTGGCAGCGTAGGAAAGCTTTGGCGAGCACGGCGACTTCTGCGAGACCAGATTTATTTGTGGCAAATGCCAAAAATAAGATCGCAAAATGTGCACCACTTGGGCGCCGACGGCACTTGATCGACAACATCGCGTTTGAAATGAAATCGCCCATAGTTGGCACAGTTGTAAATGCGACGTTGGGGAACAGAGCAGACCCTGCCGTGTCGTCGCATCTGTCGTACAACGCGCGCAAGGCATGGCAACAGATAAAAAGCGCTCTTTAAAATACTGTAAAAAATAGATAATGCCGTCGAGCACGCAGCGGCGTCCAACTATAACGACAATCCGGTCTAGCACCAGTCCCTCTCTCGGTCAACAATAGACTATTGTATTGTGTGTAGGGTTTCGATACTGTATATGTGTGTTTTACGTGGTGTTGCCAACGACTTTGTAGCACTCTTTGATGAGCGCACTCTGTCGGCTATTGATGCCAATGTAGCGCGACACGGGGAAGCGCTCGTCGCGGTCCGCGAACCCTAATCTCAATATTAATGTATCGAGAGAAAACGGCATCCTACCTCGCTTGCCGTGGGGCGGACTCGAAAAAATCTTGAGCGTTGGCTGCCGAGGTGGCGGGTCGGGGAACTGGTTGTAGATGGTCGTTGGGTGTCCCTTCCGAGCCCGCATCGCCTCCTTCCACTGCAGCTTCCAAAAATCGTCCCGGTTCTCAATCGAAGCAGGGACAATGTGGTCGAATCGCTCGCGCTTGGGCACGTGGCCGCTCTGGTTGCTCGCTGCCGAGTGCACGCTGGCTTGGTTGAGGCCCGCGACGTTATTGCTCTGGTTGTTGCTACTGGTGGTGTACGTCGCAGTTGCGTGGTGCACCGGGGCACAACTGCGCTCAAGACGCTCCGAGAGCTCCCGTGTCAGCGCCTTGTACTTTTGCAGCTCAATGCGCATCGACTCCTTCTCGACCGTCGCTTCGTGCAGCGCAACGTTCTTGAGCTCGAGCGTCTACGAATTGCATGAGATTTTGCGTTGTGGAAGCGGCGCGGACAAAGGCGAGATCGCGGAGTTGCTGGTCGGCCGACGCCTGCTGCGACTCGGTAGCAAGTGCTTTCGAGCGCTCGGACTGCGTCTTGGTCTCGTACTCGTGGAGCGTTCGGTAAGCAGCTTGGAGCTCCTTGCGCTGCGTTTCGAGGTGGCGCCGAAGCAGGTCGATCGTCTCGGACATGACGAGCACTTGCTGGTCGGCCTCGGACGCGTCGGTAGCCGCGAGCTCGAGCTCGAGTTCGTCGAGGTCCGGGTCCAGCTCCAGCCGCTGGTTGATAGAGAGCTGATCTGGCGTCTTGTCAAAGAGCTGCGCGTGCAGCGACCGGCCTGCCATCTATTCCCGTCGTTTCCAGCTCTGAGGGAAAGGCCGAAACCAACAGAGTCGTTTCGCCTTTGAACTCGGTCGATGGAAGGACACTGCGGTGCTGCCACGTCATGTACAATTGTCGTCGCGTTTTGGTATTACAGTAGCGCTTTTAGTCGATGGACTCGTGGGTACGGTGGTTGTACGGCGCCTTGAAGCTGAAGACGAGACGTGGAAGACCTAGCCTGCTCAAAACGTCCGCGGCTGCTTGGCGTCGAGCTCTCGGAGCTTCTTGGCGGCGAGTTGCCGCTCGCGCTCGTCTTCTTCGTCGCGCGACCGCGCAGTGCTCTTCATGATGCGGCCAAGGGCAAACGCGTTGGGTGCAAGGAGGCGGCGCGCTCGAGGTGCGTCCGCCTTGGCAGACTCTCGATTTTCCATCGAGCGGCGACTGCGGCTTGGATTGTGCTTGCGCCGCTCGTGGCTGCGAGACCTTGACGTGGACCGTGCCTGGAGACGTACCGGCGACCTCGAAGAGGACCTCACGCGGCGCCGGGTTGGCGATGCGGAGCGGGATCGACGACGGCGACGTCGTTCTTGTCGGTTTTGCGTATAGCTGTCGGGGCTTTGCCGGCGGCGATAAGATCTTCGCTCGCCGTCGCTCGGGCTACGGCTGGCGGCGCGTCGGTCGTCCTGGGCGTGGTGGCTTCCATCCCGCCGGGACCGGCTCCTCGCTTCCATGCCAGCGCAGCTGGAAGCTTGGTTATTTAATTTCATCGATTTATATTATATTTCATACAAAAACCAAGTGCATTTGTTGCTGGATTCTATGGCATCGAATGTCGTTCCGCGCGTATGATTGGTCCATTTCTATAAGCCGGTTTCGTATAAAGTTATTATCGTTGTCCTGTCGATCTTTCGTCAACTTAGTAGCGAAATCAACTTTCCTATTGCACGTCATCAAAATATAATGAGGGGTCGAACTTAAAAAAGCCAACTTTTCAACAGCATGAACTTGTAGAAAATGGTGCACCAAGTTGAGGTCACTTTCTTACTGCGAGCCTTCGACGATGATGGCAGGCAGCTTGCGGCGTTTGGCCAGCGCGCTCCTCCTTGGCGCCTACGCGACCTGCGGCTCGATCTACCCGGTCGCCAACGAGCTCATTGTCGACGCCTCGTCGCCCGCGGACGCCAAGGTCGCCTACTTCCCATTCCAGCGCGCCGAAAAGATGTTTGGGTCCAACCACGGCCCTCTGTTTGCTGAGCATGGCGCGTCGTCCGTCCACGTACGCCGCCTCTTGTTCGCAAATCCTTGCTAATGGAACGTGCTACGTAGCTCAACATCTCGGGCGTGAACGTGTCGTCGGCCATGAACGGCTGGCGCCTCGTGGTCTTCCACTACCAGGCCGACAACCTCAACGCACTCGCCGACGCCGAGGGCAACCTCGCGCTCTTCGCCTGCTCGCAGCTGCAATCGGAGCTCGCAATGGCCGGCATGCACCACTTTGAGCGCCGCGAATTCCCAATCGTCAATCGATCGGTCATCGCGTCGACTAACTACAAGGTCAACAGCAGCGGCTGGATCGACTCGCTCGTCTTCGTGTGCTCAGATCAGCACGCAAGCCAGGACGCGGTGCAGTTTACGGGGACGCTCACGGTGCGGAACCCGTACGGTCTTTTGCCAGCCGTCTTTTACGGTCTCTTGCCCTTCAGGTACTGACGTTGATTTTGGGAAGACACGGTATTGACAATGTTGTAGCGGGTTTCTCTCGCTTGGGTATCTCGTGCTTGCCTTCTTCTTTGCCATTCTTCTCTGCATCCACCGCAAGGAAGCGATCGCACTGCAAGTCGGGATCTTTGCCGTCCTCGTCCTCGGCACGGGTACGTCGCCCGCACGACGTACGATGCGCTGACCAAGTGGCTAGTGTCGTCGGCGATTTGGTTTGTAGCGCTCTACGAGATGAACGAGGTCGGCCAGCCCTTTAGCTGGCCATTGCCGCCGTTGTACGTTGCTGCCGTGGCCTGCGACGCCGGTATGCGCACGTTTGCACGCATGATTTTGTTGGTTGTCTGTCTCGGGTACGACAGACTGTCCATTTTCGAAGGTAGGACTGATGCCAATGTTGTCATCGTAGGTACGGTATTGTCAAGGACACGCTGCCGCGTCTCGATAAGGTGCTTATTGTCGTCATGTCGCTGGCGTACTTTGGCACGGGCGTCGCCGACGACTTGATCCGCGAAGCCACCGCCGACCGAAGCCGCGGTCTCCGCGGTCGGTCGCCGTCGATCTGGGCGCTGCTCCAGCTCGCGTGCAACCTCGTGTTTGTGCTGTGGATCTACCTCTCGCTCGAGACGATCCTCAAGGACCTCCGGTCGGCCAAGCAGTTTGCCAAGCTCCAAATGTACGAGGCGCTCGCATACAGCCTCGGCGGCTTTGTGCTTTTCTTTACGCTTCTGACGGGCGTCGCGGTCTCGGCCCGTGTCGGCCTCTTTGAGTGGCGCACCGAGTGGGAGTGGACGCAGCTCGTCGCGTGGCCCGTCCTCAACTTTATCGTCTCGGCTGCCATGTGCGTCATTTGGCGCCCGACCGCGCGCTCGATCGCGTTCGCGTCGCAGCTGCCGATGGAAGATATTGAAGAGGACGACGAGCATGACGACGACGACGACGAGCATGCTCTCAAGGATAAGAAGGACGTTGTCGCCAACATCTCGCCGCGCTTTACCGTCGGCGAGGACGACGATGACGACGAGGTGCTGCATAGCAAGGTGTAGACGTGCGTTCGACTAGAGACTTTACAATCGATCATTTTGGACAACTTGTCATGCTTGAAGTCGACCACATGAGATTGTCGAGCGAGGGATCGAACCATGTGAACGTCGGTCGACAAACGCTTCGTACCGCCCGAGGGCCTGCGAGCATCCTGGAACGTTCCAGATAATACCATTATCGCATTGTGAGAGCCATGCTAACTAGTTCTTGCAACACTTTCACCAGATTCGAGCCACTATTAATATATCTACCAACAACACACGCATAGTACAAACATTATTTAGATTAACTTAACTACCATACTAGTATGCATTTGGTATATGTCAACTACAAGACTGCGTAGCCGTCGCTGATCCAAGGGTCGTCCGTGTCCATGTACGCTGGAGGCTGCGCTTCGTAGTTTGGATCCAAGTACGCGCAGGGTGTTACCTCTGCATGCACCAAGTTGTCGTCGTCGTCGCCGTCGTCACTGCGGTCTTGCTCCAGACTGAGCAAGAGCTGGACGTCGGCCTTGAGTTTCGCTACTTGCTTGTCCTTGGCCTGGTCCTTGGCGGTCATCGCAGTAGCCGTCGCCAGTCGCTTCCATTGTGCCGCAGTCAACAGCATGTGTATCTGGAGATCCTTGGATTCGCAGTCGGCGTGACTCATGCCGAGCTGCTCGTTGAGGAGGTTCTGCTGAGACACCAAGGTGCGGTTGGTGGCGATGGAGGCGTCGTACACTGCTTGGAGCTGGTTGAGAGCGATGGTAGACGCAGAGGCGTGCTGCTCGATGGCGTTGCACTGCGCTTGCAGTTGCTGGACTTGGTCGTT